CGATGCCAGTGACAGTAAACTATCAGTAAAGCCGGATCATAAACCAATCAGCAACTGAAACAACTAAAACCTGTTAACATGTGAAGTTTTTCACACACTACTTTGGTAACCCCCTGATATATCCTGTCATATGTCAAGCAATGATGGCTTTCATTCCTGCTGGTAAAATAGGTTGATATAAATCTCCCCACTTCACATGGCTGCAGTTATTTTACCCGTTATTGCTACAAGTTGCTGAATTTCATTGACTTTCTGTCTTGGGTCACCTCACAGCCACTAGTGTCCTTCTGCGTGGATTTTTGTTAAGAGATGAAGAGTTAAAATGAATGATAACGATGTGATGTTCTGCTGGGAAGCATCAGGATCAGTTGCTTTTCCCCTCGTGCCCGACATCACCGGACACCCCCACAGGTCCCGTTTTTCGCCCTGTTGAATCAGAGCTGTGTTGATGGACCTACACGGTATCAGACGGGTGTAATGCTGGGCCCGATCGATCCATGCATACAGTGATTTTTGTGAGCCCTCATGCATCAGTGGTTTTTCGACTCCAGCCCAGAAACCGCAGACTCCGGCAGAGAGGTAATTACTGAATATAGTAGCATTGATTGGCAGCGTGACAAAATAGGGTTTGATTGATTCAAAGCTTTATAACTTAAAAACGAGAGGCCGCTGTTTTATTTTACATCACCATTAACACGCCGCTGTTTGTTTTCTCAACAATCAAACGTGACTGTTACAGAAAAGGAGGATTTGGGCGATAAGAAGGAGAGGATAAATACAAAATAAAGCGTTAGGAAGGCCGCGAATTGAACTCCCTGCTTCTAATGTTAAGCAGGTAACCCTCTCATTTGGTGTGTTGTTCTGCTCAGGACTGGCATCAAACACATCTCAGCACACACACACTCACATATACAGGGGTCCTGCCCAGTAAGAGGGCATAAAATCTGAATAATTTCACAGATAATTTGGTTGTCACAGGCTGGCAATAGCAATAACAACTTTAGATAGAGAGCCAGCACAAAAGGGAAGTAGAGAGAAGAGCGGAGCGAATCACCCTTAGCCAATCACTGTGTCTAAGCCAAAGTGGTGTTTGTGGGAGGATTAAAAAAAAAAAAAAAGTTCCTTTTTAAGCCTGTCGAAGAAAATGAGGGGAATCGCTCTCATTTCCCCTTTTCTCCTGCTTCCAAATCGTTCCTCCTCTCCTTGCATCACTCAGCGTGACCCTTTGAAAAATCGCAAAACGTTTAACGTGGCGGCGGGATGATCGCGCGCTCCAGCTTCGGCGATGGTGGCATAAAATATGGGGTGCTGTAATTGGAATTATGCACTTAGAAACAGTTTGGGGATGTGCAGTCTATCCAGCACACAGGTGGCTTTCATCACCTCGGAAAGAAGCAGGCAGCGGTGCGCGTGTGTGGGTGTGCGCGGCCACATATTGAAATTGTGTGTCCTATACATTATTCAGATGCTTCGAGCCACCACATCTGTTCATTTCTCTGAGCGACACGCACACACACACCTGATGAACAATAATTACTCTGCTGCCTGGCACCCGTGTCACCCTCTAACATTGGCTTTGTGCGGCATGTAGTTTGTGAGTGCTGTTTGTCACCTGTACGCACAGATCATAATGACAGAAATAGCTGCGCACAAACAACAAACTTGTGCAGGATAGATGCACCACAGTTTGCCGTGCATGTGCTCACAATTCCCGAAGAGGTGCGTGCACACTTTGGAGTCTGTGGAGCGTTTCGGAGGGGTGCTTTACAGTACGTACTCGCTTGATCCCCGTGTCTTTGCGCACTTACATGTGTGTGTTGTGTGCGGCCTGTGTTTTTGGGAGAGGAGAGAGAGATAAAGAGAAAAGGAGGCAGTCTTTTCTGTGGCGTCAGCCTTTGATCAGTGTCCCTCTGTGTACGTGTGTGTGTATGTGAACCAACCCCTGGTGTCTTGGAGGCAGATGAAACACTGTGCCTCTATCCGGGGCTCACAGAACACCCACTATCCTCCTCGCCTTTTCCTTTACTCTCATCTCTGCCTCGCTCTACCCCTCCCTCATCACCCCCCCCCAACCACTGTTCGTTACCACAGCCATTTTAAAGGCTATTCATGCGGCGCCGCACCTTTCATCTTGCATTGCTGCGTTTTCACCAGCTCCTCGATTTCTTTTTTTTTTTTCCTCAAGCCTTTTATCAGATTAGAGCAGACGGGGGTAGGTGGGGGGAGGACGGGTGAAGTGGCCTGCTGTTGTGCACTGTCTCTCTGTCAGATGGACGCAGCGTGGAGGTGCAGAGAAGACGGCAGCTTCGGCTGTTATGAAAGATAACACGAGGATCTGGGGTGTCTGCTGGCTCTGTGTGGCCCACTTCTCTGTTTTGCTGCTCCACCGGCAGAGCCACTGTGATAATAGATGCTTCAAGAAGCTGCACAATAATGATTATTTCCCACCTTTGGACTTTGCTGCCAGAGCTTTCTCTTTTTCTTCTTTGTCCAAGAAACTGTGCTGACACAGAAATATTGCTATGCATTGCAGTAATTAGCCAAATTAATGACCTCATTAGCATAATTGGTTATGTTTAATATATCATGGTGATTACAGTAGGGCATTAGGCAGCTTATTTGCCTCTTGTTTGTGCTCGGCTTAATTGACGCACCCAAACATGCTGCTTATTTGTGAGTGTTTGTGGTGTTTTAAGAGCAGCACAAAAGCCGTAATGGAATGAGATGCTTCTCGAGACGCACTTTGATCTGTTTTGTTTTATGGATCGTAAAGGTGAACTGTAAAAACGAAAGAGAAAGTAGGAAAATATTGATTCATTATGTACTTGACGTAATTAGTTTGGTTACTGCCGTAAACTCTGTGCAGCATCGACAGCTCGTTTGTGGTGCAGTGCAATTAAAATGAAATATTCATGCACAAAAGGTGATCAGGTAACACCCCCCTCCCCTCCCTCGCCCTGCAACAAACTTCATATTCCTCATCTCTCCATGAGCTGGATTCATGTGGACAGTAATGAGCTCACCACCTTTCTCGGAGCAGTAAACGCCCTCCCTCCTCAGCAGCAGCTCCGCCAGTGTGGGGGCTTCAGGGTTTATGGAAAGAAGTTTGATTATCCAGTTTTAATGCGTTCGTGTAGGTGCAGCAGGTTCACTGGTGTGTAGTTAGACGAATATGCGAGTAAATTCCAATAACTTGTCTTCTTTTTACTGTAATTCTTTGGATGTTCTTGTGTTTAATAATTATCATCAGGTTTCTCTGTGATTTCTCAGTTATAGCCACTACATAGTCATGCCATAATATCAAGCATGTGTTTCTGTAGTATGTGAGGGATATTTGGAGAAAATGCAGGTGGTCTTTCTTGTTTTTACCACAAGGTGGCAGCACATCCTCATGTGTAAGCCCTTAGTAAGTCCCCCTTACCCCCCTCTCACTTATATACCTAATAATTCCTGTTCAATTATAACATAATATATACAGTTCTTGGTTGTATTTTTAGTTTTTAATTTGGCTTGAGTTATTTGTCTTTATTTAGATTTTCCTTCCTTTATTCTTCCTCCACAGACAGATCATTAGACCCCATAAATACAGTCGGGCCTAGCTGTTTCACAGTGTAACCAGCGCTGAGCAGATTAAATGTGTAATAAATTAAGAAATGTTTATGTTGGTGTGCTGGCTCCCAAATTCCCGTTTATCTTGATAACACTAGTGAGACACCCATAGCAGATAACGTACTGTATGTTTGTGTTAGAGCTGATCAGAGCAGCTACCAGCATACAAGTGTTCAGCTTCCACTGTAGCAGCTTAATTGATGACCTTTCCAGTGCACCTGTCTTTAATAAAGCTTTAATTAGAAGTCCCGTTAGGATCTCAGGGGCTGCCGGTTAATGGGTACTCAAATAGGAAAGATTTAGGGTCTTTGGTGGAACAATCGAAGATACTTACCAGTAATCGTGAGAGGCAAATGTCGGCGAACGTCATAAAGGGCGAGGTATTATTCGGCTGCTCTGATAAACGGGACGGTCGTCTTACGGGGAAACTTCGGGAAGCGTCGGCTGCTTTATCGTTCCGCGGGGGGAATTTGATTTGAAAACAGCATTCTGTGTCATTATGAGGTACAATGAAGAAATTAAACTCAATTATATCAGACAAAGCGCCGAATGAATAATTAATGCGCTAACAGTGCTGCATGCATAGAGTGGAGGTGTTCGGGGTATGTATAGTTCACATTATGTATGCAAATTAGGCCCCTGCACAGCTCATGAGAGGATGCATGTAAGGAACTGTGAGGCTTTGGCTTTTCCAATCAGACCACATTCTCAGTTAATTCAGATCGCTCCCTTTGAGACATTTGCTCATTTCAGAGTCTTCATGGGTGTGATGGGATACACACAGCATGTGTTTTGAGTTGCTGGGGTACTTTAATTGAACTTGAATATTCATGCATTTTTCTGTGGCACCTGTGTCGCTTTTTTTTTTCTGTCCTACAATCTTCTGCCTGTGAAGGTAAATGTTTCTGTTTGGTCTTCTTTCTATTTCGTATCATGTGAGATGATATTTGATCTGGTTATTTGTACGATTCAGGTCAGGGCCTCCTACGTTCCTCAGACACACGGCTGTCGTACTCTGAGTAGGTCTGTTCAGAAGTTGCTGCTCAATGACATTAGAGAGAGAAAACGTCATTAAGAGAGGGGCTGAAAAAGCACTTGCTTGTGCCACTCCCTTTGTTGTCTCTGTGCACCGGCTGTGACTCCTTGTTGATGACTGATGGTGCTGCACACTCGAGCGCTCTCGTTCTCTACACTCTTGCAGTTCCCTCCCAGAAGTGGAGCTACAGGCCAAAGTGGGAATCACTTTCCTGACAGATGCTAAATATTAAAGCTACACTTCCCAATAACATCTTGTCTTGTTCTCTCTTCATCCCCCTCCATCCTCCCCCCTCCTCTTCTGAAAACACTCCCTCACCTTTCTCCTCCCTCCATCTTTGTGTCCCACACATAAGGCTTCCTGAGCACCGGAGATCAGTCTGCTAAGGGGAACTATGGCCTGCTGGACCAGATTCAGGCTCTGCGTTGGCTCAACGAGAACATTGGCCACTTTGGCGGAGACCCGGAGAGGATCACCATCTTCGGCTCTGGAGCTGGGGCCTCCTGTGTCAACCTCCTCATCCTCTCGCACCACTCTGAGGGTAAATGTCATGTTTTATTTTAATGTTTGGTTTTATTCCTCGTACAGAACATATTTTTTAATATCTTTTCACCACCTTTGCTGCTTTTTCTTATTTAAACCAACATTAACTACCAGCTACCAGCTTGGATCCACCCTGTTAAATCAATGATCAAAAACCAACATCAGTTTCACGCATTTCTTTTACTCTGGGCTGGATCTGATAAGCTTAAAAATTTGTAGTTTTTTCCCGTCGTTTATTTCTTTTCACAGAGACAAAACTCTAAATGAACCAACATCCGTCGCTATAAATCACACCTTCAGTCTGCTTAGTGGCCAGATGTGTGCAGGCCAGGCGCAACAAAAAATGAAATACAGGATGAAGGTGTTGTGCTCTGGACTAGTGAATAACATGGAGAGTTGTTTATCTGTGCAGTTTTATTCATTTACAGCAAACTGATGCAGTTTGTGTCCTCTGCACATCTGTGGTGCTCTGCTGCGTCACACAATGTGAAGCATGTCAGACTACGGAAAGATGTGTGGTTCAGCTAGAGACCGGGGAGGACCACGGGGAGGACCATGCCTCCTTTAACATACATTTCTCGACTAATAAATTTTTGTCCTTTGCGTACATTCTGTCTGAATGACTAAAGTTTCTGTCCTCAGTCAGTCAGTTCAGCTCTCTTTAGTGAGCCATGTTTTATTTAATGTAAAATATGATTGTCACGTATAGAAGCACAGCTGGCAGCTTCCAGCCCAGAAACAGTTAAGTCCTGTGATGTTCACTTGACACCTTTATCCCCAAAGGAAAACACTGCTTGTCCTTTGAACTGAACAATTTAAGCAGTCGTGTAGCTAATGTGCGAGCGGAGGTTTGATCCACGTTATGTTATTCATTTCTTTGGAGGATAAATGGCGTGAGAGCTCCAGCATTACCCTGAATTACCTGCCTTTGGCGTGCGCTCCTCTGTCCGCGCTTCACTGCTCTGCAGCAGGAAGTCTCTCTCTCCACTGAAATCCAACATCTATCTGACCTCGTGCTCCCCATTACCAACAACAAACCCCGAGGGCTAAGTGTTAACACCGCACCGCCAAAAGACAGAGGCCGACAGACCAATCGACTTTGATCGGAACTGAGATCAGCGTGGCCGACGATCCGCAGCCAAACGGTCACGCGCTCGCCGCCTTTGATCATGCTGTTCTTGAAGCTGTCCTCCTCCAGTCGTGGATCCTCTGTTCTCTTGGCTGCTCGAGGACTCTCTCTCAATATGTCTCCCCTCTCTTCATTTTCCATCTCGCACACACAAACTGCAAAGGACAGAAACAGGAAAGAAATGGTGGGTGAGAAGAACAAGAGAGATTAGAGAGTGTGTTCACACAACCACGCATCTGTTTCAATTACTGCTCTGTGCGTGTGTGTGCGTGCGTGTCTGAAGCACCAAGCAGACGTCTGACTTGTCTCTAATTTTGACTCATTCTGTCGGCGTAGATGTGCCTTGAAAACAAATGTGTTGTCAAAGCTTGAATGAGCATCCGTGCGCTGCTGCTGTGTCACTGTATCTGTTTAACACAATGTCTGTAATTACCGCTGATGTCTGTTAACCCTTCACATTAACCCAGACCACCCCCAGACTTTCCTGTTGAGCACCCCAGTCTGATTGCATATACACAAATATAACCTATAAAGCCTGGTAACTTCACTTCTTTAACACTTTGGAGGGAAAAGTTTGTATTTTCTTTGTGTTGCTAAGTCATGGTGTGATTAGCATAAGTTAAAAGAGGTAAATAACTAGCTCGACATCCCGCAAAGTGACTAATATTAAATGGGTTATTGTAACTTACGTGCTTTCATTATTATTATTAGTTTTATTAATGGGAATACTTTATATGAAAATACACATTTTAATTATAAGTCCATATTAGTGTGTGTGAATGTGAGAGTGAATGAATAATGGAATTGTAAAGCGCTTTGGGTGCCTTGAAAAGCGCTATATAAATCCAATCCATTATTATTATTGTTATTAGTTGCTTCTGGTCTCTTTATTAGTTATCATGAAAAGATGTAATAACAGCTTACAATTCATGGCAATATTCCACAGCTCCATGACCATTAGTTCAGTTATCCTTTAAAAACCTTGTCATTACTGCATAACAACAGTAAATAACAGTTAAAGTATGAGTGCTATGACTGATGATTTTAAGTATTGATGTGTAAAGTCTGTTTGCTAGCATACCATTTTTCATGTTTATTTATATAGTTAACTTTTTAAGATTGTGTGTTTCACAGCCCTGTCATGTGTTAGTCAGAGGTATTCTTTGTTCTCATTGGTGGATGCGGAATGTTTACCTCAGTACTCAGTACTTCTGTGACTACAAGTCATTGGTCGTTGGTTGCCATGACACCACTAGTTCCATGTGTACAGCCCTTTAACCCTCTCAGGCTCAAATTAAGTTTTTGTTGCTAATGCACAAAAGAATACCTGCAGTGGTACTTCTGAGTAAAAAAAAACTCATAAAATGTGTGTGGGGTAATCAGGTTGTTAGCTTTTACAACGCCTGCCTTGAGAGGGTTAAAAGGTGGTGGTGCCATCCTGCAAGATTAATAACATGTAGTAAATGTGGGTGACTGACCACAAAACTACAGCTAACTCAGAACATATTCCCTGTTCTAAAGTCAAGTCGTGCCCATGGCTAACAGGTTGCTCAGCAGTTATTAAACAGCAATAAGAAGGTTAGTGAGGAAACTCTCTAAATGGTCTTCTAGTTGCAGAATATGCAGACTTAGACGTTAATAAACATTGTGACTGATGAGGAGCCATTCTGTCGCTAACATGCTAATAAGCAGCTTGTCAGTTGTAGATTTATGTGCTTTAATGTAAAATGTTACCTTTTCTTCACATTTTCTTTCTCTGTGTGAATGAGCTCCAGAGATGTCTCTAATTATAGTGTCTAACTTGCTCTGCTTCTAGCATTAATGCTAATCCATACTGATTACGTTCCAGCTCCAACATGAGCTCAAATAAAAAAAAGATCTAAAGCACAACCTTAAAAACCGAGGAATGCCGCTGTTTACCCCTTTTGTCTTGTTGCTGACAACCAGCCTCACCCCGTCCCTCACTGTCACCTGTCTGTCCTCATGCCTGCGCTTTGTCATCACCCCGTCGTCATCTTCCTCTTCATCAGCATCTAATGGCGTTACATCAGTCCACTAGACGCCACCTGTCTGTCATGCCTCCCCCCCTTCTCCCCTCCACCAGGGTGCCAGGTAAGGAGTCTGTCATCCTCACACTTAATGGACACCAATCATGTCAACAACACAGTGTCACAGATCAGGGCTGACATCAGAGGCTTACAGGACTGATAGCAGGACGTAGGGAGGGGGTTGTTAGTGATACTGATATGAAGGTTAGAGGGAGGCAGAGGACAGTAATCAGTATCCATCCACAGTTAAGAGAAGTGAGACAAGGACAGGATGAGAAACAGGAGACTATGCTGAAGAGGAGAAAGAGGGAATAAAATGCTTTGAAATGGAAAATACGAAAAAAGCAGCAGCCAAGTAGAGCAAGGTTTCAAGCAGCGAAGGCAAGAGGCACTAAAGGAGCGACAAAGAAACTGATTTTGAAGACGAATAAAATATAGCCTCTCTGTCTGTCTCTCCTCCCCTCCTCGGCTTCTCTCGGTGCAGATATGTAGGTATAGCTGTTTCCAAGCTACTTCTTACTATAATTGATTTCCCAGGGAAAGAAGGCTCTGCAGCTCTGCTTAATAATTAACTGACCAATCTTCGGCCCAGGAGAAGGGAGAGAAAGAAAAAAGGGAGACCGGGAGGAAACGAGAGAGAGCCAGGCGGCCCCCTTAATGAGCCACTTGAGTGGTTTAAACAGCACAGGACAGCCAGAACTAAAGGAGAGAGAGAGAGAAAGAGGGAGACAGAGAGGGGAAAATACATCCAAGAGAAGCTTGGAGGGGGGAAAAGCAGCTCAAGAAAGGAAAAAATAGATCTTTTGACATCTCAGATGAGCTTTTTCCCAGTCCTGCCTCCACTTTTTGGAGCTAAAGCTCCATAACATGCTCCGTCAGTGATGCTCTGGGTCTGTAGTCCCATCCTGTGTCTACCAGCTTTTCTCTAGTAAGAAACGTGATGACGAAAAATTGTTAAACTGTATTTTTAATCAAGTTCTCTAGCAGAAAGAAAGTTATGTGATTTATACATCAGGCATCCTCCCTCTGCCCTGAACCTCACCAAAATGTCTTTCTTTCCCACGTCTTCTTTCAGGTCTGTTCCACAGGGCCATAGCGCAGAGTGGCACAGCCATCTCCAGCTGGTCCGTTAACTACCAACCCCTCAAGTACACCAAGATCCTGGCCCGGAAGGTGGGTTGCACCTACGCAGAGACTGCTGACCTGGTTGACTGCCTGAGGCGCAAGAACTTCAGAGAGCTGGTGGACCAAGACATCCAGCCGGCCCGCTATCACATCGCCTTTGGGCCTGTTGTGGACGGAGACGTAGTTCCTGATGATCCAGAGATTCTCATGCAGCAGGTGAGGGTCTGATAACAGCAGCCGCACATCTCTGTTGTGTTTTATTATCCAAGCAAAGTGGTGAGAACTCCTGGGATCAGCCGTGACGTGAAACCAAAACAACTGCAGAGAAAATAACTGCAGTGTTGGTGATGTACATGATCAGGGTGTTATACTTTAGACACACTGAGAAGTTTCTCTTGTGTTGTCATGAGTGTTCGCCAGAAGCCCAAAAAGCAAACAAATAAGACTTTATTAAAGAAAAGTATAAACACAAGTACACGCAAAGATGAGACACAACTATAGAGACAAAGAGTGATCTGACTGGGACAAGTAAAACTAATTGGGAGAGCAGTTTTCTTCCAACAATCGCTACCAAAATAAAACAGGAAGCAACAAGAGACAGTAGCAAATAAGCTAAATGTAGTCAGACCTGGAAAATGTTAAGCTGGAACAGAACCTTAAAGCAGCAAGATGTGATCCTGTAATTCAACGCTGACAGAGAGTCGTTGAGGTTTCCAAAGAGCAGGTTTCTCTTCTCAGTTTGATTCGAATATTTTCATGTGACAAGAATAAAAAAATTCTTCTTCTTCTTTATTCATCCATCCAGATGGTATTTTGGACCATCTTCTAAGTGAAAAACTGCAAAAGTTGATTTGTGTGTATTATTAGTGTAAGTAACCACTGCTGGTTGACCAGGATTTTTAATTACAAAAAAGATTCTTAAAAAGTTGTATTATTTGATTAAATAAATGCTACATTCTGAAGAGATTGCAGATGCAGTCAGTGTCATTAATGTGAAAGTCATTTTGGAGACGGGGGAAGTGTTTTATGTAAGGTGAAAAAAATCAAACAGGTGTGCAGAAAGCAGTAACGTGAAAATCACTACAGTGACATATTGTGTGTGAGAGGAAGAAGTGTGAGTTTTGCAGCTCTATGCATTAATCGACACTGCAGACTTTTAAAAGATCGGCCCTGAAGCCGTGACCTGCAGAACACGCAATATGATGAAGATCATGGCCTTAAGAGTCAGTCTTGGAATCCTTGAAAATGCTTGAAGTTTAATATTGTCTTTTCAAGGTTTGAAAAGTGCTTGAAAGTGTTGTAACTAAAAGTTACTGTGACTCAAACATAGAAAAATTTGATTTTTTTATTTCCCACACCTAATTAATTAGAGATTATTTTATTGAAGTCTTTAATAGCATATAACACCCAAAATATGCTTCGGTTCACATTTAACTCCAGAAAATCATCAATCAAAACATGGATATTACCTGACCACAGATTCGTGGTGACGTCACTGCTATTTTAACTGTTTGGTGTCTTTGCTTTGTTTGCTGGTTGTAGAAATGGTTTATTTGAGCTTTGAGCTGAGATTCAGAGATTTCTGTGGACACTGCTCATGTCGGCACTTATATTTCTGACCTTTTCTTATAACCCATTAAACATCATCTCCTCCCTTCTGACCCCATTTTTGGTGGTGTAGGTACAAATGATCAGGCATGACATTCTCATAATAAATAAGATGCTACAAATAATTATTTCTGCATTTGTGCGATTGAAGTGAATTGAAAATGTGTATGAAATGATACATGTTTTAAAGATTTGGCCTAAATAAATTTGGAGTGAATGAGTCTAAACATGATGACCTAACTAGTGATACCCTGACACACAAACACACACTCACTCACTCACTCACTCAAGCATGTTGTGCCACTTTCAGCTGAAACTATGTTTCAAACCATATTCTGGGTTTTTAGTTCACCATTTATGAGGTTTCAAGAACAGATCTGAATGTTTGAAAATGTTTTGGAAAGATTCTGTAAAGATGAGATGAAAAATACTCAAAGGATAAATTTAATTGGTTTATTATTTAGATAAGAATATCAAGCAAGTAAATGAAGAAAAAGATAAAATGAAGTAATAATGAAAGAAGTTAAACAAGTAAAAGAAGAAACAAGGCAAAATGAAGAAACAAGGCAAAATGAAGAAACAAGGTAAAATGAAGAAACAAGGCAAAATGAAGAAACAAGGTAAAATGAAGTAATAATGAAAGAAGTTAAACAAGTAAATGAAGAAACAAGGCAAAATGAAGAAACAAGGTAAAATGAAGAAACAAGGGCCTTTTGTTTTCTTCATGCCATTGTTCGGGTCGTTGGTTATTTTGACCTTAGTCTTAGTTTTCACCACAGTCATAGTTATAGTTTTTGGTCTTAGTACCTTTAGTGTTTTGTTTCTTAGTGTTTTGCCAGTTTGTTTTGGTTTCCTGGTTTATTCCCTGCCGTCATCTTAATAAAGCATCACCTTTCTGTTAAAACCTTACTACTCCTCGTCGTCATCTGCTTTTGGGTCCTGTTTCCACGCACATCGGCGCACCCCGCCGTGACAGAAACAAGGTAAAATGAAGTAATAATGAAAGAAGTTAAACAAGTAAATGAAGAAAAAAGGCAGAGGAGAGAAAACCCCAACAATCCCCTCTGAGCAAGCACTTGGCGACAGTGGGGAGGAAAAACTGCCTTTTAACGGGCAGAAACCTCCGGCAGAACCAGGCTCAGGAGGGGACAGTCAACTGCCGGGACTGGTTGGGGGGGTTAACAGAGGTGGAGCAAGACGAGGCTACATCAGGTGAGGAAGCAGTAGCGTCTCTCCTCTGGACAAGTGGAACCATTTTTTCTTTTTTTTCATGCACTTTTCCACGAGCGCTTTTTTCTCCACGGATGAGATTTCTCAGCTCGTCGATGGTTTCTGCGTGGTTTTTCTTCAAGTTTCTCACATCTTTGTTCCACCTCTTCCAATGTTGCTTGTTGTTCTTCAAGCTTGTCTTTGAGTTGTTTGGATGTTGCCTCCTGTATCAGCTTGTCCTTGTGCATGTCTGCATTTCTCTGTTGGACCTCTTTGTGCTTGTCTTCTAACTGCTTCTTTCTTTTCTTGATTTCTTGATTTTTGTCTTCATGTATTTTGTCTTCTTGTTGTTTTTGTGACTGCATTTGAGTGTGTTCACTCTTCAAGTTATTGAATTCCACCAAACGCCCCTTAACGAGCTCGGAGTTGTTTCTCGCTATCTGATCGATCCTTTTCTGCATCTGTGAGCACCGTTTCTCCAGTTTGTCCCTTTCTTCTTCCACTTTAGTTGCTTTGTCCTCCAGCTGATTACAAAACTCTTGCAGTTTTAGATTTTTAGACTCAAAGTCCTGGACGATGCGTTTTCCTTCTTTCAGTCTTTTTTGTTGTTGCTCTTTCTGTTGAAGAAGGTCTTTATTTTGGCGCAGTGTTTCATCCAGGCTTTCTTTCAGCATGCGGTATTTTTCCTGCATGCTCTTCAGTTTGTGCTGCATGTCTTGTTGCTTTTTGTCCTGCTCTTCCTTCTGTTGGAGGAATTTATTCTTTTCTTCCACAGCTTCATGGAGCTGTCTTTGGAGGAGCCGATTTTTTCGGTCCATGTATTGGAGATCCCGTTGTCATCTTATCAGTCATCGTTTTCTTGTCTTGGAGCTGGTTGGTCATTTCTTTTAGTTCTGCACTCTTTTGCCTGTTTTCTTTAATGAGGTGCACAATCTGCTCTCGGGTCTGAGCAAACTTGATTCCCCAGCCCTCATTAATAATGTTTATGTCCGGCTGGCGCTGTTGTCTTTCTTCCAGCTCTTTATTTTGGGCTTCCATTCGTCTACACTTGTCCTCCAGTTGAAGTTTCTCTTCTTCAATTTGTTGCATTTTTTTCTGGAGAAGGTAGTTTTCCTTCCTACTCTCCTCTAACGCCCTTTGGAAGGATGAGACGCCATTTGGGGAAATTGGCCGGCCACGCCAGGAAGGAGAGGCGGCGTAATCTTTTTGAATTGGTTGTTTTTTTCTTGGAAACATGTTGGAGTTTCTATACGATGACTTTGAAGAGCTTTCCAAATGTTTCTGTGGTGAACGTTTTGTAGGCTGCAAACACAGATGCTGCTGAAACGAACTAAAACTTGCTGTTTCTCACCCCTACTTAAGGAAAAACATCAAAGGACTTAAGATTCTTAAGATCTATGACATCATCACTCCCTAAGCCAATGAGATTGTCACAAGACGTTTTGGAATGGGGTGTTTTTTTTTAAACTGTTTTCAAACTTAACTTAAAATTTCAGTGTTTCCTAGTTGTGGACTATTGGTTAGTCCAGCCGATGAAGAAATTAATTGTCACAAACATCCCTAATATTACATAACAGACGACAGAAAACAAGACAGTTTTTTTTCTAATAGAGGTATAATAAAAGTTTTTTTAATTATCCTACTTTTTATAAAAGAGAACATTTATTAAAGAATATGTATTTAATTAAAAAACTCTGTTCATCTAAAGCAGGGGTCAGCAACCTTTAAGACCCAAAGAGCCATAATTGGCCTATCTGGGGTTGAAAGGCTCGATAAATGCACGGCGTTTCGCCGGGTACACCGGCTTCCACGAGTGTGATGCTTATTTTGAGCGATGAAAAAATAACAAAATATAATGTTTATTTGTATATTGCAAAATCACAATAATCTTCCAATTTAGAACTACAAGTAAAAAAGAACTGGCATAAATAAAATACACTTCAGCTAAATACTCATTCATTTTCCCAAACCACGCAGAGCCGCACTATAAGGACTAAAGGATGCATGAGGCTCCGGAGCCGCAGGTTGCCGACCCCTGATCTAAAGACTATAACAAAAAGGGCGAGCTTCCTGCTGGAAAATGCCTGCCTGGGGCTCGGTCACTCAGGCACAGCTGGCTGCCGGCGGAGCTCATGGGCGCGTCACTGCAACTCCCCCTGGCCTCTGCTCCGCGGCTGCCCTCATCTGGGACTCTCCTCAGCTCTTACTGGGACAGTGGCGCGGCTGCCCCTCTGTTGGTCTTCCTTGGTCTCTTGTGTTCTGGGGGCCTCTGGATGTCTGGAGTTTTGATCTCCTCCATACCTGCTTCATACCCTGGAGGACGGGGCTGTGGCTTCCCCACACTCCCTAGCAGATCGTTACATGGAGAAACCTTTGGAATGCAAGCATGCTGATCCACACAGATATGCACACAGGTGTACACATGGGTATTCACAGAAGCGGACTACAGCTTTCTTGGCTGCTGCCTCAAAGCACATTGTGCGCTGTCTATCTAGCGTGCTGCACAATATCGTTTATTGCTGATGGTGCCGTTTTTTTTATTATGTTGCTCTTTGTTGTTTGCTTTCTCTTCTGTTTTTTTTCTCCATACAGGTGACCCAGGTGTTTTTTTTTTTTGTTTTTTTTCTTTCTTCCCCCCCTTCTCACCGTCTCTTCTCCCCTTTGGTTTTCTTTCTCTCCCTCTCTTTCTTTCATTCTTTCTCCCTGTCCTATCCCCCAGTCATGTCTGTCCCGTTTGTAGCAACTGAAAATAAAATAAATTCATAATTATAATAAAGGTCAATCAAATGGACCAATATGGCAAGGCCATGATGATCCACTTGGTAAAATAAATCCGCTTGGCATCTTTCTTGGCCTTAAGACAACAATTCTGATGGCTAAAGATCCAAACGGGACACAAAAAAAAAAAGAAAGTCGATGTCCCACCGGGCGATCGTGGCTCAAGAGTTGGGAGTTTGCCTTGTAATCGGAAGGTTGCCGGTTCGAGCCCCGGCTTGGACAGTCTCGGTCGTTGTGTCCTTCGGCAAGACACTTCACCCGTTGCCTACTGGTGGTGGTCAGAGGGCCTGGTGGTGCCAGTATCCGGCAGCCTCGCCTCTGTCAGTGCACCCCAGGGCGGCTGTAGCTACATCACCAGTGTGTGAATGGGTGGATAACTGAACGTGTAAAGCGTTTTGGGGGTCTTAGGGACTAAGTCAAGCGCTATACAAATACAGGCCATTTACCATTTTTCTGGGCGTGGGTGTTTAACTAGTTAAAAAGAACAAAAAAACAAACAAACATCTGTCTCCTATTTTTTATGTCACACAGGAAAGAAGCTTCAATATCTGATGAGAAGAATTTGTTGGTCTTTGGTGCAGTTTTCTTCTTTTCTGGCTTGTTGTTTATTTACAGTGGAGATGAAGATCTCTAACAAGTTGATTTGTTCACATTTGCACATCTTAATTTTAAGAGGAATGTGTTTTTTTGAGTTTGTACACTTGTTTACTGGGAAATGAAATGCTGCTAATGCACAAAGCTGTGCTTCAGCTGCACTTCCTGTTGTAGACTTGTGATGCACACAGGCTCTGTTCCAGCACTCAGCATGTTCTTCCTTATTTGCTCCACCAGGGGGAGCTCCTAAACTATGACATCCTGATAGGAGTGAACCAGGGAGAGGGGCTGAAGTTTGTGGACGACAGTGAGGACAACGACGGCATCTCAGCTGCGGCGTTCGACTACACCATCTCCAGCTTTGTTGACAACCTCTACGGCTACCCAGAGGGTGAGGACGCCACCTCTGTACACTGCCACTTTTTCAGTTATTCCATTTTACAGCCTCCTCTCACTTAACTGCATTTTGCAGCATCATCAGGTTTTGTCTCATTAGGAGCCGCGTTTGTTGATTTGTTCGTTTTTTTCTGTTTGCTGTATTCATTAAAATAAACGGATAATCGTCAAAATGACAAATGTGGACAATTATCAAAGCTTACATTACAATTCTGACAGCTTGAGTTCACATGAATTTTCAAAAGAATATAAAAACCTGTGAAAGTGCTTTAAGCGTTTAAAACATGCGAGTAAAGAATGGAATCAGTAACATGTGAGCCCAGTGAAGTGCATCAAACAAGACAAGCGTGCTAAAGAGAGCCACTCATCCACATCACGGCGTGTCTGCGCCTTAACCTTTGAGGCTCTGTGGGCAGTAATGCTATCATCCCCCAGGTAGTGGGCTCCCAATCTCAGTGTCGGTGTTTCTGACAGATCGGCCTGCGAACCCCTCACAGCCGGACCACAGTCACAGTACAGACATGTTTGGATAATGCAGTCATGCTTCCTCTCTGCTGCCTGTCACTCCTTCTGTTATCTGAAAGACTTTTTTTTCCTCTCTAGATTTCTCACTCGCTTCCTGGCTCTTGGTTCATCTCACCAACATTTGCTTTGGTTTCATATCTTTTGATCAGACCGATCTCTTAAAAAATGTCTTGCACTGCTGTTACTTTACTCTTAGCAGTTTTTCACTTTTATCTTTCTTCCCCCTCCTTTTGTCCCCTCCTGTGCTTCTTCACCAGGCAAAGACATCCTGAGGGAGACCATTAAGTTCATGTACACAGACTGGGCGGACAGGGACAACGGCGACATGCGGCGGAAGACTCTGTTGGCCCTGTTTACGGACCACCAGTGGGTGGCACCAGCTGTGGCCACTGCCAAACTCCATGCTGAGTTTCAGTCCCCAGTTTACTTTTACACGTTCTACCACCACTGCCAGACCGAGACGCGGCCCGAGTGGGCCGACGCCGCGCACGGAGACGAGATACCTTACGTGTTCGGCGTACCGATGATCGGTGCCACGGACCTGTTCCCGTGCAACTTCTCCAAGAACGATGTGATGCTGAGCGCTGTGGTCATGACTTACTGGACTAACTTCGCAAAGACTGGGTAGGCCTCATGTCACAGTAGTGTAAACTGTACACGTTACTGTATGTTCTCTGATAGCCTTCTAGTCATCTTGAATACTTGAATCTAGGTTGCTAGTTTAATTCCCGTGTGGCTTTGAAGAATTGAACATACTGGTTCACCAAAAGCATCCAGATCCCAGAGCAGCCGGTTGGTCTTAGATAGTTGAAAGGTTGCACAGAGAATGGGCCTCCTGTCTGTATTCAGTGTATTGAT